TTTTTTTGCACAAAGTTTTCCCATTCCCCTGCTTTTTTTTTTTTTTTTTTTTTAATATATATATACACACACACACACTCAGGAACATTGAAAAATCCTGGGAGTATCCTGGGTTTTGACACCAGTTTACAACCGTTCTGCATCAAAGAACAAAATAGCCAGAAATCAGTTCAGGTTTCTTTTTGCCCGTCATCATGTGGGTTTGCTCTTGTTCAGAAGAACCTTGTCTTTTCCTTGTATAAAGTTGCTTTATAGCACAGAGTAGCTTTGAAAATAATTTTGGGATTGAAGGTCGGTCTTATTACAAAGCTCATCTTGTAGCAGAGCTGTAGACAGGAAAGTTCATGGGAAGTTCACGAAGAATTGCAAAATACCTGCTCTCCCCTAAGGGAATCGTAGAGATGCCGTAAGGCTGCGCCTCCCATCGCTGTGCTGTAGGGAACTGAAGCTGCATCCATCCTGGAGGCGCCGGCGTTGGTTAGTCGAGAGGTAGGGAGCGGAGCAGAAGTCAGAGGGCTCTGGCTGCCTCTCCAAAGGGTGATCTTGAACTTGACCTTATCTTGAGAATGGTGGGTGGTAGCAGCTATTCTTGGGAGGGTGTTGGCCATCAGCGTCAGCTAAAAGGGCATCTTCCAGTTACGAGAATGGAGACTATTAAGAAATAACTATGAATTAGAAGTATTTTGTTCATGTACAAGATTACTGTGAGCATTAATTGCAGGGAAAATGTAGAGCCTCAGCATTATAAAGCTCACTTGCAACAAGGATAGCCTGAGGTTTGGTGCTGAGTTGGAGCGATTTTCCTTCAGGATCTAATAAAGGACTTTTTGTAAGTGCCTCTTTCCCCGATTTAATCATTCTAAGTAACGTCAGAGACCAAATCCCTGTTTGCAGTACAAAACTAATTCCATTTAAGGCTGCAGCTGTGGGTAGCACGGCTCTCGTTAGGTTGGCACACCGTCCTCACCCCATCAGGACCTGAAATGAAGATAGGAATGAAGGTGACAGGTTCCCAGTTGGTTTGTGCTAAGGCTTTTACATTCTCCCACGTTTCCCGCTTAAATACTTGTTTTTAAGGATCTTTTTTTTTTTTTTCTTTTTTTTCATACTTGGACATGTATTCTATGGGCAGGTACCTCATATATATTTAAAAGCAGCTGGACATGACAATGTAGGCTAATCCTGCTCGGCTTTAAATCATTGCTAGAGTAAAGCAAAGGCCAGATGTTGATCCCCGATCCTTTAACAGACGGCAGGTTGGGAGGCTGTGGCACGCCGTAGGTCTCTGCCACGCCGTTTGTTAAGTGAGAGAGAAGATGGAGAGAGGGAGAAGATATGTCATCTCCTAGAAATATTTCATCCAGTGAAACCCTATTTAATTGCGAATGAGTTAATTGAATTTTTTGGTCTTCTGTTGCATTTTACCTGAGTATGATGTAATATATCAGGCATTGAATTTTGTTAGGATTTATTAGGATTTGAGACGAATACAATGACCATAACGCCATAGAGTTTAGGTATTTTCATCGTTCTAGCTTGTAGGTTAGTGGACAGATGTAATGCACTTGAAATGGGGAAATGAAAGAATCCGTGAAAGCTTAATTCCAGTATACGTGTGTTTGCAGGAGACGCATTCGACAGTGCCTGCCGCTGTTACGTGATAGCGTAGGTATCCGTAGTGCTTTAGGAAACCAAATCACGTGAGGTTTGTCTAGCTTATGTAGAGTCCCCGTAGTAGTGTCTACGTGCTGGCTACCAAGCAGCTGGTGAAGAGCACGAGAACTCACTTTGGGAATGAAAAATAATGGACACTGATACACGGAAAGCGTGTGTAAAGCTCTTTAACCTGTGACTGACTTGACCTTGTTGCAGTCCCAGAGAATCACATACACAATTTTGCTTACACTGGTGCAGATAAAGGATTTAAGACTGGAAGAAAAATTAGTTGTGATCCGCAAATGAGAAGAGATGCCCGAAGATAGAGATTCCTGTACGAGAGACCTATCATTTCCTTTCCACACCAGTAAACTGCACGTACACTATGGATAGGATGATGAAGAGGGAGATAACTGATAATATCTTTTTGTTATTAAAAAAAATATCAAGAATTAAACTGTACTTTTCGTGTGCGTTTAAGGCAGAAACGTGTGCCAGTGCACACGGCTTCAGGGGGACGTTTTGATTTATGGGTAGAAGGGAAGCAATGCAAATGTCTGTTCCTCCACAGTTATTGCAAACTGCCTACAGACCTCCCTGCTTTTTGTTTTAAATTTATTGCACCATGCAAGGAGTTACTGGTTGTAGTTTTTGTGGTTGTACTTCTGTCCCCTTGACAACTTTTGTGTTCACAATAGCAATGCTGCCAACATGTTGGCTGTAGAATCTGGAATATGATGTCTCTCAAATTGCATGCATTAATGCATACATTAATATGGATTCTTGCATATATTTACCTGTTAAATGTTTTTTTGGTTTTTTTTTTTCTTTTCTTTTTAGGTTATGAACTCAGTGTTTAAGACTATTCTAGACTTGACATATCCGATAACCTCTATGTTTTCTGGAGCGGCTTTTAACAACAGCATCAACCACATCTTCAAAGATAAGCAGATAGAGGTGGGTTGTTTATTCACTTTATGTACAGTAAATGATGGTGCTGTGTTCTGCTGCAGCAGAAACAACTTTCTTCCGTGCTAATATGAGGTATGGGGCTGTGGGATGACTGAAAACATGTTCAGACTGTGAATGTGATGTTACACGAACATAGGAAGGAACCTATTCTTTCATTTTGGTGGATTTAGAAAACACAAGGAGCAGATTATTTGTAGCTACTTCTGTTTGACAAAGGGATTCCGTTGTCTGAGAGCAGAAATTAAAATTGTGTCACTGAAGTAGAATTGCTGAGACTGTTTCATCGCTATTTTTCTGCAAATGAGGTCTGAGAGATCCTGAGGGCACACCAGAAGAAGGTCTTAAAGAGGGTAACAATGGGGTTGGGTTTTTTGTTTTATTTTTGAAGCTAGAGTGAGTTTTTATGGACAGCGTATTGAAAACTGCCATAAGGTCGAAATGTATTGTTTTCTGGTTTGCATACCAAATTGTAATTTTGTATGCAATTGTATGCAATTACATATTTTTGTATGCAATTGTAATTGTGAGGTGTGGTGTGTCCACCTGAGCTGATAGCTGCATTCAGAATCTCACCTGTCCTCCAGTTTATAAAAAGCACAGTATCAGTGGTTGTCTTCCTACATCACCACGCTTAGGGAGTCATGGGGTAGTCTTGCAATCCTACCTCATTGGCAGTTTTAACCAAATTATTCCTGTGTTTGGAATCCTTGTGAGGAAAGATTATGTAGCAAATTAACACTATAAATACTTAAAATATATTTATTAAAAATAATCTAAACCATTTCCTACTTAAATGCAAGTCGGAAAGTAAGTAATTAATCATCACATGGCTTAAAATAGCATTTTGCTGTGCAGAGTGGATGGGGCTGGGAACAAACAGGGTTTGGAGTGATAAGTCCTTCTGAGACTGGAATGACTTTGGTTATTCAGGCAGCGCCAGCCATGCTCTCAGTTCTCTAATCGTGCGTGTCCCTTCCTGCAGCACTCCAGCCCCTATCTTTGGTTCCAGCAGTGCCTGATAGGGAAACGTGTGATTGTCCAGGGACTAAACCAGCTCCTCTCGACTTGCTTTGACGTAGCCAAGGAGCTGCCTTCCGCAAAGCACCTCTCACTGCTTTGGATTTCAGCAGTCAATTTATTGTACTTGCCTTTAAGATCCAGTAGATTCCTTCTTTATGATTTTTAACAGCTGTAATTGTACGATCGTTCTAACCTTGCAGTCACAGGAAGGTTTTGTCGGAGCGAAATCCAGTTCTGAAGCATGCAGCGTGCAACAGCAGCATCTTTGTGCGCACGTGTTGAGGGTCACAGGCTGCACCCTTCCTCAGGCTGGAAGGCTTCCATCAGATGAATAAGGAGAAATGTTGTGTAGCTCCGCAAGGAAGGAGGTGGTTCCCCCTTCGCTGCAATTCGTGTTATCAGCGCAGGTTAACCAGTCATGTCACTAGACAGACAGAAATTGGAAGCTGCCTAAGAAGTAACAGAAGCTGAACTAAGAAGCATTATGCCTTGAACAAATGTTTTCTTAAAGCATTATTTCAAAGCGTCCAAACTGCAAACGTCTGTCTTTTCTCAGTAGTTGGGGTGGGTTTGGAGGGGAAGTGGGTACTGTCCTTGTGTCTCTCTAAAAGCTTAGAGTTAGGAAGCACTGGGCCAGCTCCTCCGTTTTACCCCCCATGGCTGCGAGGTGGCACTCCTGCACTTCTCGCGTGTGCCCTCGTCCCTCTTCTGCATCACAGCCGGGGAGCGGAAGCACTTACGTTGAACTGTTATTTCTGACATTGAAAGGGAGGTTTCCATTTTCTCTTAAATTTGCTCTCTGACAACCCTTGTAACGTGGGTGTCTCCTGATTCCCAGCAGTGCTGCTCGGGGGGTAGCCCTGGTTACCAGCAACCCCCGTGATTCCTGCTACAGACGCCAGCCAAAGGCGGTCCGGCAGGAGAGATCAGCCTGTGCGGGTTCTTCCAGGAAAGCGCACAGAAATCCAGGGCAGGGCGCTTGAAAGATATTTCTCAAGAAATACAGTTATGACTCCTCTGAAATGACCCATCCTTCCAGGAGAGCACCAGGCTCTGGAATTTTTATCGCCATTGCCAGAAGCACAAAATGCTCTCGCAAGTCATCTTGGCTGAAGGTTCAGGTGTGAGGAATCAGAGAAGAGTCTTACCAAGTCCTCTTTCAGACTCAAGTAATGCTCTGTCTCCAAAATAAATGAAACGATATCTGAGAAATGCAGTCTTAATTACTGCGTCATAGGTCTTGGTTTAGTTTCCTCTGTGCGTGCGTTTGCGTGAATATGAAAGGAAGCGTCAGATAGACTTCTTTCCCCATTCCCCTATTTTTGCTTCAAATGTGGCTGATGCACTGAGATCTGCAATCATCAGAATATCTTTAGCAGGGAGAGGCACCCCTAATACTCTCGTAGTCACACTTTATTCATCCGCCCTCCTGTGGCATTTATACCAGATGGGTTGTGATACTTGTGCAGCATCTATTAGTCCTCCCCAATTCCACCATCTTTGCAGAGCTGCTTAAGAGATTAAAGTCACTCAAAAAACTGGCGGTTCAGAATGTCGTACTGAACAGCACAGACGCTCGTACCAGAAATACAGACTGACCAGCGAGGGAGTGCTGCTCAGCTCGTACGGATAGCTGGAGTCCGAACCCTTGTTTGGTTTGAGTTGAAGGCACGTCAGAGCTGTGCTGGAGCAGGCCCAGACACCTTGTCCCAGGAACAACGCGCCTGGCTGGGTGGGAAGGCAGGTTTACCTCTTCAGTCTGGGTTCAGCTTTGTGTCACTGACAGAGAACTGTCAGCTGGTGTTCTCTGGGCATAAGCTGACTTCAAACAAGTCCTCCCCCTTCCCAGGCAACCCTTTCATTAGACTCCATGGAGACTTTGCAAAACTATCCTCTCTCCAACAAACTCCAGTGCGTTTGGAAGGCCGCCTTCCCCTTCAGTTTTTCCAGCTAGTGGGATGCGAGTACAGACATGGCTGCAACAGAAATGAGAACTTCCCCTCCCAGGAGCAGGGCTTGTTGGTTTGGTTTAGCCCCCGTGGAATAAACTTGTAAAGGACTGATACAAAAAGAATCGCCTTGCTATCATCCTTCTTCTTAGGTAGGTTATGTACCACGCTCCTCACTGCTATTTTACTCTGTAGTACCTCAGGCAGCCTCTGGCGTCTTCTTGAAGATCTGCCCTGCAGGATCCTTTGTTCCTGTAGGTAAGGCTGCACAGTTTTGTGTTCTCTTTGACTCCAGGCAGCTTTGGTCTCCGTAGCATTGCGCTCCATCTCCTGTGCAATCACTACCTTCATAACCACAAGGTACAAATTGCAGGTGATTTAGTCAAGAGGCCATGACCCATGTTCTTTCTCTCTCTTCATCTTGGACTCTGGTGTCTCAGGAACCGAGGGAAGGAAGATGCTGCCTGCTACGGTCTTAGGTTGGGTTCATGGGGAACCAAGTAGTTGCGTGTTCATCCATGGTGAATATGATTATGGAAGGCTTGCTCTGTGTTAGTAGATGAACACCACCTTGAGTGGAAACAGTTGGGTGAAAAGCAGGAATGACCATACTAGTGAGATCAAAGGTCTCTTAGCTTAGTGCCACGTCTCCAGGGGAGGCTAAAAGCTGCAGGTATTTAGTGAACTGGGTAAAAGCCGAATACATAACAGCCAAGGCTGCCCTTCACGCTGTCCTCCAGCAGTAAACAGCCCAGGGAGCTCTTTAGCTGAGAGTTATCATCAGACCCCCACACTTCATCTGAAAGCACAACAGAATCAGAAAGAAGGTGATCTCCTGGTTTGAGTGATGAGGTTTCTGTGCTGCTCTGTAGGCTGGACAGTCTTCTGGAACAAGTATTTCTTGCTATTAAAAAAAGGAAAGAAGGATTTTTGTCTGCCTTGGTTCTGCATGAAATGTTTGCATATGAAACAAATTTATGAACTTGAACACAGGGTTAATGGGTTTTTCTCCACCCACGCAGGCCTTTGTGTCTACAGCTCCATCTACAGAGGTTGTTGCTTTGGTTTGTGTTAGGCATGGGTTTAGTTTAAGTGCAAGGTTACAGACTTAGTAAAATTGGGACCTCCTCTGTTGCAGGATCTGTGGATTCCTTACTTCACGATCACAACCGACATCACTGCCTCAGCAATGAGGGTCCACACAGATGGTGAGTGTGTAGGCAGCCTTTCCAGTGGCAGGTTGTAAATAATGATGTGAGACTCCATGTCACCCTTCGTTCCTGGAATTTTCCTCACCTTTAAATTTGTCTTTCCTTTTGTTTCTCCCTTCTCTGCTATTTGCTGAGCACCAAACTGTGGTGGTACACAGATAACAAGGAACAGAGCTGTTGGGAAGAAATTAAATGAGATGCTGCACTCACTGCTTAGAGAGAAAATGGGTCCATTGACACCATTCTGGTCCCTTAAATCATCCCGTGAAGTGCAGGTGTTTTAGCCATAAATCAGGACTAATGCAACCAAAACATTTTAAGATTCAAATTCCCCGTAAATGAAGCTGTTTCCCCAATAAAGAGACTCCTGTGCCTGAAGCAGAGGCTGGGTGAGGTTCCCCTTTGTGTCCAATCCTCTGTATTTCTCTGGTGGAAAACTGGAATGTACTTTACTGACTGAACAGAGGAGAAAGATCTGAGCTGTCTTCTCCGCTGTCAGGACATGGTGGCAGCCCTGTGGGACACTTGCTTTAGCTTTTGTCTATTTGGGGTAACGGTGCAATGACTCAGGCTCCAGTGGAGAAAGCAGAAGCCTACCAGGTGCCCCAGATATTTCCTTGAGGAGGTGAAGCCTTTGCTTCCACATCTCTGATGTTTTGTCTTTTGAGCTGGCACAGGTAAAGATTCCCATTCCTGCCGCGAAGGCGTGGGGTACAGAACCGCTCAATTACCCTGACACCGGGGCTTTGTTCACCAAGGACAACCAGGGGAGCTAAAACAAGCAGACAAAGGATTAACCTTTCGTAGAGGTTTTGTATTCCCATTCTGCAGCACGTTAAGCCAGCTTAGGTCAGGAAACTCACTCCATCCAGCTACTTGTCCCTGTGGAAGTTTAATGTAAGGATAGAAATCAGCTGGAGCATGGTTATGGTCATCTCCAGAATTCAGTGAAAGGAGAGGAAGGACGTTCCTCTTCCATCTTGGTTTCATCAGTGGCGTGTAACACAAGTCGTCAGCATTTTTCTTGTGTGGAAGTTCCAACTCAACTGAAACTATTATTAATAAAACCCAAATCTGCCAGTATTGACCTGTGCTAAACAGTAGGAGTGCTTCGGTTATAATTAGAAACAGAACTGTTATATATTTTAAAAAGAAGAGAAAAAAATCAATTCCCAGTTTGCTGGAAAGAGTTGCTGTTTGAAGGACCAAGCAGTTAATTATTGAGAAGTGAGCTAACGCTGCAAGTCTTATTTATTTTTGATATTTTAAAGATTCGCATCTCAGACAAGACTCTTGGCCTCTTTGGAAACGCAGTGTGTTCCCAATTCAGCTGATGCAAAGGTTAAGAGAGAGAAATCAGTAAATAAGAGCCTTAAAGCAGAATGTGTTACAGGAAACAGATCTAATCAATTTCTACTTGATTAAACCTTCTGTTTCCAACAGCTTAAAAGATTATAACTTTCTTCCTTACAGCACTATTAACAGAAATGTCCTAAGAAGAGATAAGATCTCCACCACGTACTCACACTGGTTTTACAAGTGAAAATCTTTGCTCATCACAGAGCGGGGAAAACAGAATTTTTGGGCTTCTGCAGCATATATTTTTCATGTTCAGCTCCTGCAAAAAGTCTGGGGTTTGTGGATCTCTGTAGAACATAGTGGCTTTAGCTGCACTTCAATCTGCTTGTTCTTTCTATCCCTTTGTCCCCAGGAGAAGCCTTTTCCTTTCCTTATCAGCGTAAGCCCAACAAAGCACTGAAGATGATCCCCGCAGTCAGGCATATGCTGAAATCTCCTTGAAGGCAATAAATAAGAGGCGTGGGCTTAAAACTGTGGTTTCTGAGGCCTTTGCCTGGTTGTATGTCTGAATAGCCTTTAATTTTTTTTTTTTTTCTAGCCAGGATTATGGTATAGAAAATAATAAACTTCTTTAATAACTTTCCAATGGTATTCTCAGGACAGCCTCCAATTCCCAATTATTTTAACGAGTGCAAAAGCCTACCCCACCTCTGTGGCAGTAATTAATGCTGTTGCCATTCCCTCCCTCTCATTGCTGCAGGCTCTCTGTGGAGGTACGTCCGTGCCAGCATGTCCCTCTCTGGGTACATGCCCCCTCTGTGTGACCCGAAGGATGGGCATCTCCTCATGGACGGAGGTTACATCAATAATCTTCCAGGTAGGTGCCCGGAGCAGTTGGGAAGAAGTTACCGAGAACGCAGCCCGTCAAACAGCTTGCAAAACTTTGTCCTCTTTTTTTTATTTTTCCCAAAAAAGGAAACAAGGAGAGGTATTGCAGACACCTTTAATCTCATGATGGTTACCAGGAGTCATTGTTCCCAGTTTCCTAGGTGTTTGCTTTATCATGGCTTTATTAAGGCTTTTTTGTTACAACGTATTTCCTAATAGACATATTCTGAACATCTAATTCCAAGCTAATTTTGAATTTATCTTAGTACTCCCTGAAAGGAGAGAGCAGAAATTAAGCTGCAAACATATAGTCTATCTTTGAGTTTCTTTTCAAAAAGTATCCGCTGAATAAGAAATAATTCTGAGAAAGCAGGAGCATTAACTCTTCGTTGTTCAGCCTGGTGTCACCCAGAGCCTGAAGGGTTCAGCTGACAGACATCGGGGCTCGGTCAGCAGTCGGCACGTGGCAGAGGTGGAATCACGTGGCGATCAAAAGAGCGATGTGGAATTTGGGGTGTTCTGAGGACTGAACCCCAAAGGGTCCAAGGCGTGTGAATTCACTTGTGCGTGTTTGGGATGTGGGTGATGTCAGGGTGTCATCGTAGTCAGAAAGCATCGGGAGGCGGGTGGCCAAGACGGAAGAGAGACATGTGGTGTCACTGCAGTTTGTGACTATAATTCTGTACAAACAAAGAGGAAGGAATCTTAAGCTAGAGACTCCACATCTGAGCAACCTAAATCGTTTACACGTTCAAGACAAACCCAGACTATATTTTTCCATCAGGGCTGTATTTGCCTAAAAACCAGAAATGGAAGTTACACCAAA